TTGTAGATTTCTATAATTGTCCACATTTGTTGTAAAGAGAGGTTTCTTTGATGAGGGATGTGAACTAAACTTACCTGTGGGTATAGCAACAAATATTTAGAATGAGGTTAGAAGATTATATTAATTGTAGGTTCTCTACCAAGATCCATGATGTCACTAGCCCTGAGTAGTTGGCTAAGTTTCCAGTACCAGTCATAATTTCTGTCTAGATCTGGTCTTAAGTCTAATTAGAGTTATTAATTGCCACAAAGGTAGGACTGCTCCTATGGTAGCCATAGGGTTATCCTGTCATGCTGATCATTACTCTGGTACATAGTATCATAGTTGATGAGAACCGTTCATTGCTTTCTCCCTTTGTCAACTTGTGGTACCATGAAAGCTAGTCCTCAGGTAGGAGAGTTTCAGGTCAGCTCCAGATCAAGGACTTCTGAATACTGTGTCTGAAGTGCATGGTGTCTTTAGAAATCTAGGCTTACCTTCCACCTGAGAGTCAACCCAGAGCAATAGCAATAGCAATAGCAATAGCAAGAGCAATAGCAATAACCTCTAATGTCTCTTGGACAACCCTCACCAACAACTCAAGGGAGGGTGTTTCATGTCTGCTATTGTTTTTATTTTTATTTTTGTTAACGATCTTTGGCTTTTGGAGGAAACATTGTCAGCCCAGATGAGAAAATTTAATTTAAACCATCTATCCATGCCTATACAAAGTCTTACATGGATTATAATTTACCTTCTCTTTTTTGTACATATATTCTTAATAGCATGAATCTTTATGGCATTTTCAGAAAGCCTTAGTGTTATTTTGCCCACTTCTACTTCTGCATTTATCACACCCCTCTTCCTATTTAGAACACCCACATTCTTCCCATATCCCAAGTCAGTTCTTTTTTAAGTAACAGCACATCAATATCATTAAAGATTCTGAACTATATTTTCTCAAAATTTACTTGATATTAAGGATTTTACTTAATATAAAATTTCCTTAATATTGAAATTTCAGTGACATGTCAGCAAAGGTAACTGTTTAGGAAAAACATTCCTAGGTATGCTTCAACCACCAGCCATATGAGGTTAATGGGAAGACTGCCTTTTATAAGAAATAGGTCTTCCAAGATACCACATTTTTAGTGCTATTATGTCTTAAAGAAATCTGTAACAAATGGCTGAGGAATGAAGACTCTGCAACAGGTATTGGTTATGCAGAGAGAGACTGGAGGACAAAATCCTGCCTCTTCAGCTAGATATTTGTCCCTGGGTCCCTGGATACCTAACAAGTACCTTGATCTTAGACTGTCTAGTTTCAGAAACCATAGAAAAATAATCCCTTTTGTGCAGACTGCACCCAGCCTATCTGTGTTGCCAAAGCAGCCCTAATGAGCCAGAAAAAATGTCTTACAAATAAACCAATGTTCTCAAAATAAGCCTCAGAAAAAGTATTTTGTCTTTTAGCATCATGTTTCAGATTTGGAGATTTAAAACTCTGAAATAAAAAACATAAATAAGCCAAGTTGCAAGTTTTGGGTACTTGTAGCAAAGACTACTCTGGTTTTGCTGAATTGGGTTATAGTATTTCTTTGTGGCCAAACTAGATGTCTCCACTGAACAGATAGAGTGAGCATTCTGTGCTGATAAATCAAGCTCACTTACACATTCAGTTGAGCAGTAGCTCAACAACCCCAGCAAAGATGCAGAGAAGGCTGATTCTAAAGTTTTTTGTGAAAGGTCAGGAAATCCATGCCATGTTCATTCATCAAAAGTGGGACTCTTGAGGTCTCCCCGATGAATAACGGTAGAATAAAGGCTTAAAATGCACATAAACTATCTAAATGGTAATACAGTGATCACTTACACAGGACTCTATATTCTTGGTTAAGTCAAATGAACACAAAAAAGGTGCAGACACATTCTGAAAGGAGGAAAATACTCAGAATCTTTCCAACTGAGCAACATCATTTTAGCAAGGTATCCAAAGCACTCTGAACTAAAACTAGTCTTCAGAAATATTTTATGCTTTCTATGCTTCCTCCAGTTGAATAATGTCAATTAAATTGTATTTATCAGAGTATTCTGACTAAAGAATAGTCTTCAAATTGTAAAATTAAAAGTACATTACATCAATTAAAAAATGAAAAATTTTGGAAAAATAGAGGAGAGCAGGATGAGAGATACCATAGTAGAGGGAGCCATTTTAGGTCCAAGGAGATAGGCACTAGGGAGATTTCCAGAGATCTACAAGGATGACACAAACAGACAATCCCAGCAATGGTGGAGAGGATAACCTAAACGTTCTTCCCCTAAAATGAGATTGATGACTACTTTTTTATGCCATCCTAGAGCCCGCATCCAGCGGCTGATCGAAGCAGAGGCAGACATCTACAGATATACACTGAACTGAACTCTGGAACTTACAGAGAGGGAGGAATGAAGATCAAAGGGGTCAGTACCAGACTGGTGAAACCCACAAAAACAGCTGGCCTGAACAAGGGAGAGCAAATCAACCCCAGATGACATCTGTGAGGCCAGTACAGGACTGATCCAGATCCCTGAACATGGATGTCAATGAGGAGGCCTCTTCGCTCTAGGGGGCCCCTGGTGGTGGATTAGTATTTTTCCCTGGTGTAAGAAGAAAACAGCTGGCCTGAACAAGGGAGAGCAAATCAACCCCAGATGACATCTGTGAGGCCAGTACAGGACTGATCCAGATCCCTGAACATGGATGTCAATGAGGAGGCCTCTTCGCTCTAGGGGGCCCCTGGTGGTGGATTAGTATTTTTCCCTGGTGTAAGAAGGGACTTTGAGAGCCCATCCCACATGAAGGGATGCACTCTTTGACTGGTCACATGAGGAAGGGCCTAGGCCCAGCCCAGGATGATGTGGTGGACTTTGAGGAGCCCCTGTGGAGGGCCCTACCCTGCCTGGGGAGTGGAGGGTGGGTGGGGTGGAGGATAGGTCAGGGTGGGGTAGGAGAGATGTGGGTGAGTGGAGGGAGAGGGAGAAGGGATTGACATGTGAAACAAGCTTGTTCCTAATTTGAACTAATAAAGAAAAGATTTAAAGGCAAAAAAAAAAGAAATTAAAATTTTTAACCCAGTAATTTATAGATTTAAACATTCATTTTAAACTCAAAGATAAATGTTTATTTTACATGTATATAAAATATGTATTATTATTAGAAAGCAAGAAATCCATTATAATTCAAGGACTGTAACAGCCTTGAGCACATTTTGTACTTTGGAAGTTACATTTACTGTGAAGATTTCAGAAATATACATATGTTACACCAATTAATAAAAACCCAGAGAAAGATATTGTGGTCAAAGCTGAAGGTCAGCAGAGCAGCTGGCCACTGGATGTTACCTCTACCTCAGACTGAAATGCTGATTCTTGCTTCATGAATCTTCAGAGACAGTAGTGCTCCCTGTCTGGAACTAAATCTCCACATGAGACCCTTTGCTTCTTCCTTTTATACCTCCCTAGTGCTGGGATTAAAGGCGTGTGATATCAAGTGCTAGGATCACCTTTGTGTGAGCTGTTTCTCTTTAGACAGAATTAATTTAGTGTAGCTCAGTCTGGCCTTAAACTAACAGAGATCCATCTGCCTGTCTTCTGAGCCTTGGGATTATAGGTGAGTGCCACCACAGCCCATCCCTAGCTAGTATGGCTACTGGGATTAAAGGTGTGTGGTGAGATATTATTTATGATTTATTAAAGCTTGCCTGGGAATTCAGAAAGCAAAGTCAGCCAAAAGCCATAGAAGCCAGGTACACACCTTTAATATCAGCAGCCAGAAGCTAGGAGGTGGTGGTACACACCTTTAGTCCTAGCACTCAAGATTAAGAGGTAGACAGATCTCTCTGAGTTCAAGCCACACTGAGCTACAAGAAATATATCCAGTCCTAAAAAGAAACAGATCACAAAAAGATGATCTTTGCACTTGGGGTCACACATCTCAAATCCAGGACTCATGAGGGGTATTTAAGACAGGAACAGGGTCTCAGAGCTGGCGTTCATTCTCCAGCCACATGGAGGAGAACACAAGAGTATGGGATTGCAGTCTGAGGTTTGCTGGAGCAAGGATCGCCTTTCAGTCAGAGAGAGAGGTAAGAGCTAGTGGCCAGCTGCTTTGCTTTTCTGATCTTCATCTTAAAGCTTGAACCCAATAATAACCCAATAATTGTTGGGTCATTTATTTATCCTGCTACAAAGGTGTGTATCACAACTGCCTGACCCCTAGGGATTGTGGCTAGCTTTGCATTCTGAACCCTCAGGCAAGCTTTACTAAATCATAAATAATATATCACCACACACATAATTTGGATCCTGATATCACGAAAAACAGAATAAAAAAAACTGTTTGTAGATGCCTAAACTCACTCCTTCCTTTATAAATCACCATTTAATATACATTATCATATTTGTATATAATGTGCTGCTTTCTAGTCATTGAAACTGGTACATAGAGAAAAAAAACACTAGATAAAGTGACTTTGAATATGCCTAAAATTAATTTTTTGCCTTTAACCTGGATCTAACACTCTGGTGGCTCACAAGATGAATGTGGTCACTAAAGTATTTTGAGTTCACAACTGGTTCTTAAAACTGTGTTAGAAATTGGGTGGTTGTCTTATCAAATCTATCTCCATTGTGTACAGTCCCCACCTGTCTCATTCTAGTATCATTTCCTTTTGTGTTATGTGCTTGATCTTTAAAGATGATTGACTTCTTGGAGACTAGACTTGAAATCTGACTAATGTGAACATTTCTCAAAAAATTTTTATGTAGCATCAGAGGACCTTAGGATTGCAGAGATTGGATGACATCATAGAGTTTAGATAGCTTCTGTCATTTCTTCCAAAAGGACAGGGCTACATGAGAATAACAGTTTAGACATGGTTAATATGCATGAACAGTTTATGCTAAAATGCTCTGCTAACTCTGTAAGGCCTAACTCATCTGTTTTGTCACACACCAGGACCTCTTCCTTCATGAACACTCACCCCTCAGTGCAGGCAGCAGGGATCTCTCCTTCTTGTCATCACATTTGTTACACTCACTGAAGTAAAGGAGTAAGAAGACATCAACAAGGACCCACATCAGCGAAGTGGCAAGAACCACCTTGCAATAGACGAATCTCCTCATGCTTGATTTTTAGTTAACACAGAGGCTGAAGACGAATGCTCCTGAGATAATTCCAAGCCACAGAGGTGAACTCCAGGACAAAAGCAAGATTCATCCCACTGTATTAGAACAAAAAACAAAGGATTGTCATTGTGATGCAGGGAGGACTTGCACAGGGCATCTAGAATATAAAATAAATGAATTAGTTCATGCTCCCAGATATGCAAGCATTCAGGTCCTCAAACACAGAAATTAGAGCCCCTCATGTGTTTAACATGCTAACTAGCTAAGATTCTAAGATATGGTCCTTGAGCTGTCACTGTACTGCTGAGTGGGAATTTGAAAATCTATTTGGAATTCTTCAAATGGTGTTGGCTTTACTTTACACCTTATCAATCTGTCCTATATATCACTAGGATGTCACCGAGCACACTTCAAATTTACCCTGATAGAGTTCTTTTGGCAAGCCAATATTGTATTGCAAAAGAAATCATCCTGAAATAACAATGTTCCACAGAGGCTAAGGGCTGATACTTACATAATGGATAATTCTGAGTCTGTTCACTTGATAATACTTGGAGACCTTCCCTGTCTCCATTTTCCAATCTGTGAAATAAGCAAAGCAATGGCACATCTAAAGATTTTCTAGGGTTAACTATGATTAAGTTTACAAAGGGTTTTGGGACAATTATCAGTTAGCTGGGTGGTAGTGGCAGTGGTGCATGCCTTTAATACCAGCAATTGTAAAACAGAGACAGGCAGATCTTCTCTAATTCAAGGACAGTCTGGTCTACAAAAAGATTTAGGGGGAGGGCTACACAGAGAAACCCTGTCTCAGAAAAAAAAAAAAAAAAAACAGAACAAAGATTTCAAAGGGGGGGGGCTCTTAGTTGATCCATTTACCAGCAAGTCATGAAATAAATCAATACTTGTTAGTCTTAAAAGTATCTGGTATGTGGACTACATAGAGAAATAGAGAAGAGCTACATCTGAACTACTTAGCAGTGAGAAACAACATACTGATGAAAAATAAAGAGCAAGAGTGTGCATTGTAATAGACAAAACAAAAGAGCTAAAAAATTCTTGAAAGACATCCAAAAACTATAAATTAATACTTTATACATATTTGTTTATGTATATTGCATTGAGAAATAACTATGCCGCTAGTTTCTCTATAACAAACACATGAGATCAAAAATAATCTGATACCATTTGCTACATTATGGCATCAAGTATGGATCTGAATGGCAGTGGAGGTGGTGAGGAACAGAGAGGAGTAGAGGCAGGAGAAATCATAAGCAGGATATGTTATTTAGGAAAAAAATCTATTTTCAACAAAAGGAAAAAGCTTAGCTATCAAGTAAAGAGTGCTTGGTCAGCATGAGCAAGGACCTAAGTTCAATTTCGAGTACCACAAAATAAATGAATAAATATCAAGTAAAGTATGAATTGTTAGATTTAAGATAAATAACATTGTTTTGGCAGAGATGCTTTAGGTAAATATTATTAAATACAAAAGAATTGATATACTTCATAAATAATCTTTCAAAGCAATAACAAAGTACAATTTTCTAAGTTAAAGAACTCTTTAAATTTATGTAACTGATTTAATGGACTAAGATTTAATAGACTAAGGTTGTCTGTGACAACCAATGAAAAGTAGTTACACATTCCAATGTGAGAGTTAAAAATAAGTGAAGCAAATATTCTTTTTTCCTTCTTTTAAAAATCTAAATTAGAAATAAACTTGTTTTACATGTCAATCCCAGTTCCCTCTCCCTTACCTCCTCCCCTGCCCCCAACCAACCCCCTAACCTATCCCCTTTTTGCTCCCCATGGAGGGTGGAACCTTTCCATGGGGGATCTTCAAGTGTGTCATATTATTTGGAGCAAGGCCTAGGCCTTCCCCCCATGTGTCTATGTTGATAGAGTATCCCTCTATGTGGAATGGTCTCCTAAAGTCCATTTGTATACTAAGGTTAAATACTGATCCACTCCCAGAGGCCCCATAAATTGCCCAGGTCTCCTAACTGATGCCCACTTCCAGGGGATCTGGTTGGGTCCTATGCTGGTTTCCCAGCTATCAGTCTGGGGTCCATGAGTTCCCCCTTGTTCAGGTCAGCTGTTTCTGTGGGTTTGTGGAGCAAATATTCTAATCTCAGTCTTCTTTCCTTTCTCTCTCTTTCTTTTTCTTTTTTGTTTGTTGGAGTTTTTTGTTTGTTTGTTTCTTGTTTTTTGAAACAGGGCTTTTCTGTGTAACAGCCCTGGCTGCCCTAAAACTCTCTTTGTAGACCAGACTGGCCTTGAACTCACAGAGATCCACCTACCTCTGCCATCAAGTACTAGGATGAAAGGCATGCACCACCATCGCTAGGCTAACATTCCTATTTCAATAACAACATAAAACTTATATATATCCAGATATATGTGGATAAATGTTTACCAAAGGACAGAGATGGATCATGTGTGCAAAGAGAAAAAGTGCATAACATTTAGAGTTTGCTTTTCTTGGAAAAGACAAAGTTGGAATGTTAATTACCTAGTGCAGTTCCTTTCTATTTGATTTTTCTTTTAAAAATGAAAGCTAAATATTAGAACTCAGCCTCCAGTCCTAGCAACCAGGACATAGCTCTCCTACTATTATTCCTGGCACTGTGTATGTATTTCTATACCTGTGATAGGAAACAACCAAGTCTATAAATTTTTCTCATTTTTGATGCTAAAATGGAATTCATCCCTTCTATTTATTGTGAGAAAAAAAAGAATCAACTCAACTTCCCTAGTAGAAACACCTTCCAACAAATGATCTGAGGAAGGGAGGAGAACTGTGAATATGTGACCTGAGGCAACTTGCCTTTCTGTGCACTTCATTTTTACGGATAACATCTTTTCTGCCATATCCACCTCAAAAAATCATATGAGGCTCAAGCAAGATGGAAAAGAATTTTTTAAGTATGATTATTATTATGACAAATTCTGAAATAACTTAATATTAAATATTAAAATCCCTAAGATAAGTCATTTCCTAATAAGAGTCCAGCAATTGCAGTTATGAAGAATTTAATTTCAATTTCAGTTATGATAGAAAGGCAAATCACATCCTATTACTACTTCAGGAATTATTCAAATTATCCTGCTTCCATAGCCTGTTAGATTAGCACACTAAAACCACAGGGCTCAGAATCCAACTCAACCATTTCAGTGATAAAATTTAGTTGTTGTGTATTCTTGTCTATTTATAAGACATTCTTACTGTATCTACTTCAAGTTTTTAATTCTGTGTATAACTTAACTAAATCTCTACCTGGAAAACAACCTCTTATCCTCTGGCACATGTGGGATGAATGTTTCATGTGTGTACTCTAATACTCCTTATGCAAACAAAGCTGATCAAGTGGAAAGACGACTGTTTGCATGACAACTAGCCAACAGAAGCACAGTTTCTTTAAGGTTTATTTAAGAGAGTCAGAATCTATATTCTTTTTATTCCAATATGCTCATACTTATCTGAAAATGTTATTTTGTTTCTTAGAGAATGAAGAAAGCAAACTTATGCAGCTTCTCTGGCTGACTGATCCAGCAGGGAGCATTAACAGACTGTACAATCAGGTTCAACAGACCGTTTTCCTAAGTAGTTCTAAGATCTTTTAGTATGATTATTTCTTCATTTTTTAAATTACTTCTTATTTTTCTTTAAGAAAAATTGAGACATGATCTCACTATATATCCTCTGTGGCCTTGATCTTATAGTCCTCTTGCCTCAACCTCTTGAGTGCAGAAACTTTAAGCACAACAAAAACCATGCCTAGCAGCATTTTGCCTTTTCAGGTATTGTTCTATGGAGGAAACTTTTATGACATAAAACTATCAAGTATTCTCTTGTAAGCCCCATTCCTTTCTTTCTTGCCACATAATATTATACAAAATAGTGTGGGACTTTTACTTAGAAATATGCAGTATTTTCCTACCTTTATTATAAAAATAAAATTTAGATAAAAATTTGGGGAGTCAGCAACACTTGTATTATGATAAGGACAAAAGTCTTGTGAGGAGTTGGTTGATTGGTTTTGCTTTTCAACCGGAAGGCTATTATTTCCCTGGGGAATCTAGCTTAGTTGCTATTAGGCATTTCTATCTGTAGTCATATATTCTCTTTAATAGAAAATTGCATAATGAGAGAAAATGTTTTCAATCTATTTTATGAGACTGTACTTAAAGCTGCCAGAGTATTCTAGAAGCTAGTTTGAGAATGCTGATAAAGCTTCCAGAAGTTTCAAACTTTTAGCATTGTAGATAATTACAAAAGTATTGTGAGTGAATATATAGTTATGCATCTTTTCTTTATAGATCCACAAATCCAGTGAAAAGAAATGAAAATTCATGCTGATTTAGATCCACATATAGTTGAAAAAAGACTGGCCTTTGGGTACTTGAAAATAAAAAAATAATACACATTGGGAGAATCCACTCACAGGCAAAATCACAAGTCTTAGAAACTGCACCATATTAAAAGGCATACTGAGGTTCAAGGAGGCCACCAAAGGTAAAATTAAAAACACTTCTTTTGTGTAATGATTGTGGAATAGAAAGAAATAAATGTTTCTGTACTTGTATCTGTTCAAAAGGAAAATAGGTCATAACATCAAATTCAACCAATAAGAAACATCTTAGCAAAAGCTTTACATGTGTGTGTATGTGTGTGCTTATATAGTCACTTGATTTTTCTGTCTACAAAATGTAAATAGTAGCAGCTACCACAAAAATAGTGAGATAAATATGAATGGATTAAGGCTTGAAAAACTCTTGCAAAGTTGTCTGTGACATGGGAGGGATTCCACATATATTAGCTAGTAGTAATATTAATAATGTAATATCATTTTCAGAGCTACCATCAAATGAAGGAAAACACATGAGTACACTCATGAGCCCTTGCAGACACACTGCCTCTCCAGTATGTGACTGTTTAGGGACTTGAAAAATAAAACCATTATAAGGCAGAAATATTATATTTAATAAATGTATCCTCTGAAGGCATATGAATTACACAGATTTTATGATATTGAAAACTCATTAAACTTGTGCAAACACAGAGATATGTGCATTTTACTTCTATGAAAAG